CTCCACACGGGACTGGTCTCAGTCTCTGCTCTCTGTCTGCAGGTGTCCTGTGTGATGTTCAGCTGGTGGAATCAGGGGGAGATATGAGACAACCCAGAGGGTCTCTGAGCCTCTCCTGAAAAGCCTCTGGATTCACCTTCTCTGACTATGGGATGGACTGGTTCCGCCAGGCCCCAGGGAAGGGACTGGAGTGGCTGGCAGTTATATGGTATGATGGCAGTCAGACATACTACGTGGAATCTGTGAAGGGCCGGTTCACCATCTCCAGAGATAACTCCAAGAACACACTGTATCTGCAAATGAACAGCCTGAGAACTGAGGACACAGCTGTGTATTACTGTGTGGCAAACACAGTGAGGGGAAGTCAGTGGGAGTCTGGACAAAAACTCTTTGCAGGAAGAAGGGTGCCTGCAGGTGCTGAAAACCCACCAACTTCTGGGTCTGGGGCAGAAGAGGTGGGGGAGGGATAGTTGTCGTGTCATCTGGAATTTCTTCTCAGAGGCTGAGTTTACTCTTCTCTCCAATGAACATGTGTGCTGATTAGTGACTCATGACCTGGAGGCACATGGGGTCAGGCAGATGGGGAGCGCAGTGGGCAGCTGTGAGGTCTGCTGACTAAGATAGATCAGATAGGAGTCTGGTGTAGGGTAGCAGTGCTGGTCAGGTACCACAGCTGTGCTGACCACAGCCCTACCTCAACCACCCACAGACAGGATACCCAAAAAGGCAGCCCTGTGTCTCCTTTGACCAACACCCTCAATGCCAAGGAGCAGAGAAGACATTGCTGTGGGAGGCTCACAGTGTGAGGAAGACAGTGTGAACCCAGCACACACTATCCCTGAAAGTGGTGGGAGGTTACCAGCAGGGGGCGCTCAGTACACATTGAGCCCATGGTCCATCCCAGAGGCAATCCTTGGGGACCATAAGGGAAATTCCTGTCCGTGTCTTGCTTTTCTTCTAACCTCTAACCCAAAAATAGAAGACTCTAGACTTAGAAGGTAACTTTGAAATATGTAGATTTTTAATTTTATTTCCTTCCTATATAGTATGGGTTGTCAGAGGCAAAAGGAGAATTAAGGCAGATGCCATCATTTTTCTTTGGTTCAAGTTCATGTGGGCTTGGGCTTGGGCTTGATTATATTACATGGTGAGAAAAGAAGATTGGCTGAAGTTTCAATAAACCATCTGCATATGGGTTATTCTGATAATATTTAAAGGGTTTTAAAGTCGAATTATATTATGACAACCATGATAACATTAGGAAAAGGGAGAACACCAAATTGTGCATGTAAGAGATAGATGACAGATGCTAATACCAATCAATGTGTCTACAATACCAGTGATAAAAAATATATGCAATCCTTACAGAGGCAATAGAAGACAGACACAGCAATCCCTTACAGACACCCAGACACTATGGGAGAGAGAGACAATGGATCTACCATCTCGGGAACATAGTACTGGGGAACACCAGACTCAGTTGTCATGGCAAAATACATAAAAGCTTTGTTCTGCATCCTTCATTGGTGAGTAGCAACTGGAGTCTTGAAAGCTTCCAAGCAGCCATCTAAGATGCAGCGAATGGTCTCCTAGCATCAGAAGTGAAGAAGAGTGGAAAAAAAAAGGGGGGGGCATTTGGAAGTAAACAGCCTTAGGGCAAAATTGCCCTGGAAACCAGAAGAACTAGATGGTGCCCAGCTACAAATGCCAACCACTCAGGAAAGGATCCAATCTGGAGATCCTGGATAGAGTGGGAGGAAAAATGTGGAACAAAACCCAAAAACCTCAATAATGACCAGAATTACTGGTTAATGGAGTCAGGTGAGACCACCAATATTATGACCCTAGAATCATTCTGCACCTGGAATAAAACTCACTCCCAGGGGCTGGCTCTCAGACCAATAATTAATAAGATGTACATGCAGTTCACTCAACCAAGGATGAAGCAACCACATACACTATGGTAATACATCCCTTAGAGCAATAGACATCGGGGCACCAGAAGGGCAACGTTCACATGGAGGAAATACAGGACAAACAGAAGTGCATAACTATGAGGGGTGTATGGGGAGGGTTACTGGACAGGGAAGGGAGTAGACTGGGTTAGGGTTGGACATGGTAAATGGAGAGTGAAACTAAATGCACACCTAATGTTGAATGTAAAACAAACTCTTACAAAAAAAAAAGATTTCTGTTGTTGATGAATAATTTAGCAAGGAAATAAAAATATAAAATAAAATAAAGTTGAATTATAAACATATGCTGCTGGCTGCTGACACTGACAAGCACATGGTTGACAAGGAAAACAGCACCTTCCCGATGTTCCCAAACCACAAGACAGGTCATTAATTCAAGTCTGTTGAAAGTCCCAAGGTCGGCAGAGCATGGCAAGCTGCTGAACAGTGACTCTGCTACATGCAGAGTTCAAGAGTGTCTTAAACTAGAGACTATTCCTAAAGCTGTTTCTTATATATGGGAAGCAGACCATGTACCCAAAGGCAGCTACTGAGCTGCTCCAATAGATGTCACCATGGAGCTGATTGACAGTCTCATCACGGGGAATAACTACCACCAGTTGCCAAGCCACTCAACCAGTCTCAGCCAAGTTGACACACAAACTTAACCACCACAGTAGTGGTAGCAATTACTATGCAGTTCCATGAAGGGTAAATTCACCATCTCCAAACAAAAGCCAAGAACATGCTGTGTCTGCAAATCAACAGTCTGAAAGTCAAAGACACGGCCTTGTATAACTGGGCGAGAAACCTAGTGAGGGGAAGTCAGTGTGAGCTCAAACATAAACCTCCCTTTTAGGGAGAAGGCCAGGCAGCAGGGGGTACTCTAGACCTGCCCAGACCCAGGGGCAAGGGCAGATGTGGTTTAAGGGCTGGTTCCCTGCTGTGGTTCTAGTATCCTTCCCCATCTCACATTTCCCCTGGGGAATCTCTCTGTTTTCAAAATTCTGTGTCTCCCTCTGGCATCTGTGGATTCAAAAGTTGTGACAGTAGGAAGCATTCTCACATGCAGAAAAACAGTCTGTCCTTTTGGAAGGAATGACTCTGCCCAGATGCCCAGCATCAGAGTTATGATGAAGCTCAGGGAAGTCTGGGAGTCTTTGCCAATCAGAGTCAGGGCAGATGGAGTCCTTGGGCAGCACTAATGGTTAAGGGCAGATGACCAGCTCCAAGGCTGGCAATTTGAATCCAGTCAGTGATGCCTTGGGAGATAGGCCTGGCAATCCACCCTTGAAATGTCAGACTCAGGACAGAGATCTCAGTGGGATTTCCCAGTTAGCACACACTTTGGGATTCAGCTTAGGACCAAGAAGGTGGCTAGGTGACTGTCAGTAACACATAAAAGCAGAATGAGGTTCACGTCTGACCCTCCTCCTCATATGAGTCAGGCGTAGCTCTGGGCAGGTGTCTCATTTTCTCCTAGTCTGCATTAATTTCTGTGCTGCTTTCTCTTAATGCAGCTATTCCCAAACTGATGCTTTCGCTCTGTCTTTACATAAATGTTATACTAAATTTAGATGGTAAGAAAATATGATAAATTTTCTGTAAGAGAGTCTAGACCATGGGCTGGAGGGTGGAACATTCAGGCAAAGAGTCAACTCTGCAGGACTTGATTGATCAGACCCTGCCCATCTCCCAGACATTCCTGACTTCAGGAATGGCCTTTACTGGTCACTGGGAGAGTCTGTGAGAACTTGACATATTTTCCTGATGAGTATTGTATGTCTGTTTTATTCTTAAAAGCCTGAGGCCTTAGGGCTCACTTAACCAGGTTAATAAATACCTTCATGGTAACAATGTGATTTACCATGAACACCTTGTTTTCTGTGACTGAGGCCTCATGTAACCAGGTAGTTTATGCAAGCAATGTGGTTTATCAGGAACACCGGTGTGTCCTTGGGGGCAGGGCTTGACACTTTGTACCTGAGGTTAGTCACATGGTATATGCATGTATGTGTGACTGACTCCTAATAAAACCTGGGTGTCAGGGCTCAAGTGAAATTCCCTGATTGGCTACCCTCCTGCCCTGTGGTCACCCAGTGGGTTGAATTTTGTGTGTCCTTGGGACATCACTGTGAGAGGACTTGGCAGCTTTGTCCTTGTTCCAGGACCTGACCCCTTGCACTTTTCCTTCTTATGATTTGTAATCTGGATTTTGCACTA